TGTGTGTCTGCGGTAAAAGCTCATGCGGGCCCCGTGAGCCACCAGCTAGTGTGAGTGGAGGCACGGCTGGCTCTGCCATTGCTTCTTGTCCTTGACTAATTGCATCTCGTGCCTTGGTTTCCTGTCAAGAAAACGATAATCCCTCTCTGGGGATTAGCGAGAGTTTGTGAGCATGGTTTGGGCTGGCCACCTAGAGAACGCTGAAGTTGTGAGGGGCCCTGTGGCTGCCCTTGCTGTTGGCCTGCTTCACTCACCAGCCAGCTGTGTGTCCAAGCCAGGAGGTGGCACATCAGCAGGTTACACGCCTGAAACTCATGGGTATTCATAACCCCGATTAGTAACTCCTGCAATGCCAAGGATCTCCTATACCAGAGTACTTTTGAAAACTACCTGATTTCCTAAGTATATGTATATTTTTTGTTTGTTTTTAATATCTTTAGGTTTGGGGACCTCCTAAGTTTTCTAGCTATCAGATGTAATTTATGAGGAAATGCTTTTACCCCTTACCTAAAAACCATTGGAACCTCTCTGACTTTTATAAAATCTGCTTAAAATTGACATTTTTTGATGGCCTGATTATGAGATAGTGGATATATCCTCACCACCATTTTAATTGCGTTTGTAAATTAAAATTCAACATTAACAGAGAAGCAAGTGTTTTGTGGGCACCTGTATTCTATTTTATTGTTCCAAGCAGTTTTACAGTCAGTTCCATTCACAGACACTTGAGTGATGCTTCAGCAGATCAAGCATGGGCACTCACACTCACACACACACACACACACACACACACACACCTCTAAACTGGAAAACCACTACCTGAGCCTCTTGTATCCATTGGAGCTGGCTGGTAGATACAGAGGTGGCCCACCCAGATGCCCCTTCAAGGAAAGACTTGACTCCCAGCGTTAGTGCCATTGAGCCTCAGCTGCAGAGCCGCCTGGTCCGGGCTGTGCCCTTCTCAGCCCAGTGGGAGTTAAAGGCTTGGCCTGCAGCCCGTGTGAGACCCTCTGGCAATACTTGTTAAAAAGTTCCCTGCCAGGTTGGTGCTGGCTTTATAGGGCCTACATCACACTTCAACTTTTCAGTGCCCTGTCTGCTTCCTCTTCGTCATCTCGTGGATGCCCATCTCTGAGAAGCACCTTCCAACCAAGCCGGGTCTCAGCATGTGCTCCAGAGAGCCCCGCCTGGGACCTGCTCACAGTCTCTGTTGCTGCCCAGCATGTGTCTGACCTGTCGGTCCTTTAAGACCGTTTCGTGATGTGCTTACTTCTAACATTTCCCTTTAGACTTTGTTTTAGGTATCTTTGCTGTGTTAGTTATTAATGTTTTAAGTACATAGGTGAGGCTCTCTAGGGGATATTGGAAAGGTAAGATTAGGTCATCCTCTTTAAGCCTGCCCACTTAAGTATGAATTTTTGAAAACCTCAGATCAGCTATGCATGAATTTTAGATACTCAGTGGGACCAACTAGAAAAAGAGAATGGATAGAGAAGAATAAATCACATAACAGCAGGAATAGAAGATTTTGCTAGTTTTTCAGCATATTTGGAATGTAAACAGGTGTGATGTGACATAAAGTTACCGTGTGTAGGCCTGGACACAAAAAGTGTACAGCAAGTAAACTTGACAGTGTGACAGGAAAAGTTGTATTTGATGTCATACATTATCAGTGAGTGGTTGTTTTGTTTTGTTTTGTTTTGTTTTGTTTTGTTCTGTTTTTAGACAGAGTCTCACTCTGTTGCCAGTCTAGAGTTCAGTGGCCCGATATCTGCTCACTGCAACCTGCACCTCCCGGGTTCAAGCGATTCTCCTGCCTTAGCCTTCCAAGTAGCTGGGATTACAGGTGCATGCTACCACACCCAGCTAATTTTTGCAGGGTTTCACCATTTTGGCTAGGATGGTCTCAATCTCTGGACCTCATGATCCACCCATCTCGACCTCCCAAAGTGCTGGGATTACAGTGAGCCACCGTGCCTGGCCATCAATGAGTTTTAATAAAGAGAGATTCGTAATTGGAATCAAATGTGATACAAAGAATAGGGAATATGTAACAAACATATTTGATGTGCTTATGCTGAGACAGGAGAATGGAGGTATTAAGGAGAAAAATCCACATTGAACATTTTATTTGGTATATTTTAACTTTGCTGGAGAATAACTGGTGTCTCGACTTTGTCTTTTATATTGTCCTCATAGTTGCAGTGTTTATCTTAGTTTTTCAAAAGTCAAGCTTTAGAAAAAAAATTGGGAGTTTCTTAAATTTCAAAATATTTGAATAGATTTAATACTGATACCATTAAGACTGACTTGTTAACTCTTTAAAACTATCAGCTCTTTTAATTGGAGATGTTGAGGTTTCCTCATTTAACGAATAGGCAATTGATGGCTGTTTTTTCCTATGACTCTTACAGTGGGTTCACTGTTTTGACACCTTAAAAATGGAAGAACCTAAAATTCAGACTAGAGTGTACTAGTTTGTGGTACTGCTACTTTGTAGCGTTTAGAATCTTGCCAAGTTTGATTGCTTCTTTGAATTAGTTTCTTCATCTGAAAAGGAAGGGTCAGAACTATCTTTAAGGTTAACCTCTGATTGCCAGGGACTATATTTGGCTCTTAAGAACAAATGCTTTTGGTACACAAATGCATAGCACGTAAAGTTTCTGATTTTACAAGTAGGTTACATACCAAAAGTTATGTGTCAGCGTCTTAGACGCACACTTGGCCAGGTGCCCTGTGACTCATGCCTGTAATCCGAACACTTTAGGAGGCTGAGGCAAGACGATTGCTTGAGCTCACGAGTTCAAGACCAGCCTGGGCAACATGGCGAAACCCCATCTCTACCCCCCCAAAAAAAAAAAAATTAAAAATTAGCCAGGCATGGCTGTCCCAACATGTAGTGCCACTTACTCGGGAGGCTCAGGTGGGAGGATCACCTGAGCCCAAGGGGTCGAGGCTGCAGTGAGCTGTGATCCTGCCACTGCGCTCCAGCCTGGGTGACAGAGTGTTGCCATATTTAAAAATAAATAAGCACCCTTTATTCTATAGCTGTAGCATTATGAAAGCAGACCATGTCTGTTTTGGTTTACTATTAACAGTCAGTAATACCTAAGATGGTGCCTGGCATATGGTAGTTTCCTACTAAATATTTGTTAAAACTAAGTAGTCACTAAAATTCTGTAATTTTCACAAGCTTGTTTAAACACTGTTTTGGAGTATGTATACATTTGCAATGACCAAAATAATATAAAACATGACTAAATGAAACAGGAAGACATAAAGTTTAGCCTAAAATCCAATATTTGAAGGAAAAAGTTTAGAACACAGAAGATAGAATTTTGTAGAGATTCTCAAAGGGATTTCAAGCAAGTTCAGATGCTTGATGATACTGGCATTTTATTTCTAAATCTTTGAAAAACATACAGCTTTTCAGTTTCTTAATGTATTCCTTCATTTACTTATGTGAAATATTTGTTGAACTGCATGCCAGGCTCTGTATGAGATTCTCACGAGCCAGTGGTGCTTGCATTCCAGTGAAGTGAGGGAGTTACAATACAGAAACTAGCGCGGGATTATAGCCTCGAGTAAGTGTTAAGAAGGGAAAATCCCACTTAAAGGCAAACCTGAACAGCTTCTGGGACTTCCTAGTAAGTTTCCTTTGAAAGTATGACTGGAAGGCAACTTGAAGAAGGGGGTTACTCTGCAGGCAGAAGCAGCAGCAGATGCAGAGATCCTCTGGCTGGGAAAGGAGACTGGCATGGCCAGGGAAGGGGACATTCATGCGGCTGAACCCGAGGGGAGGAAGGGGGAAGAGTTGAGGTTTTGTTAAGAGGCAAATGAAGAGAGAGAAAAGGATCTGTTAGTGCCATATTAAGGATTTCCCTTCTTCAAACTCTACCTTGGCCCCCTGTTGCTCTTAGGGTGACAGCCTATTCAGAATCACGATGAAACCATCTTAGGATGACAGCAATTTTATGCAGCTAACTGCTATGTCAAGACTGATACGAGCAGATGCAAGGTACTGGAATCTAGTTTAAACAACTAAAATAGTGGCCCAGGTAAGAGATGATGACGATGATGTTTACTAGAGGAGGAAAGGGAGGAGAGGGAATGAATTTGAAGTCACCTTAGAAGTGAAAGTCCGTAGCCCTTGAATATGAAAGATGAGGGCCGTGGCATCAGGCCCATTCCCAGGTTTCTGACTTGGGGATACATGGGGTGGTGCCATTCACTGACCTGGACAACACTGATGGGGAAAGGCATTTGAGGGGCAGAGTAGAATATTTTTTCAGTTGCTGATAGAAATTAGAAGAGAAGGAAAAGGAAAAGGAGTGAAAGAGCATCTAGAGGGGTATGAGAAAGCTCATCCAAGATAGAATTAACTGAACGGCAGGTTTAGGGAATTTGAGTGATAATTTCTCCTCAGGGGAAAGTTAAATCAGTGATGGGGGAAAGTAGGGTGGGTCCAAACAGCCGATCCTATCAGATGGCGCCACCAGTCCAAACACGCTTATTAAGTGTGCTGTTGACCTTCCCAAAGTAGATGATGAAAGGAAAGCACATGGACACTACACACAGGAAACGTTTGCAGAGTGGTTGCTGAGTTGTTAAGTTTCTTAAAACTTGAGCAAGTCCTTGTTTTAGATATTTATATATTCCACATTTGAACATACCTATTTGAATGTAAGACATAAAACATTTTAGGATCCAGAATGATGTGGATTCATAAAATACCAAGTTCCATAGCCCAGAATATAAATAAATATTAGAGAGTAGGTTTCAGTGGCTCAGACTTACTCCAAGGCATGTCCTCACAGGGTCCGTAAATGTGCCTTAGATGGCCGGGCGCGGTGGCTCACGCCTGTAATCCCAGCACTTTGGGAGGCCGAGGCAGGCGGATCACAAGGTCAAGAGATCGAAACCATCATGGCCAACATGGTGAAACCCCGTCTCTACTGAAAAATACAAAAATTAGCTGAGCGTGGTGGCACATGCCTGTAGTCCCAGCTACTTGGGAGGCTGAGGCAAGAGAATTGCTTGAACCTGGAAGGTGAAGGTTGCAGTGAGCCGAGATCGTGCCACTGCACTCCAGTCTGGCGACAGAGCAAGACTCTGTCTCAAAAAAAAAAAAAAAAAAAAAAAAAAGTTTGCCTTAGATTACACAGAACTGTGTAATGCCATTGAGGATAAAGGATGAGCTGCCTTACTTGACAGGTAGCTCGGACATGCGTTTGCAGGCCTTAATAACCTAGCCTCCTTGTTCCAGGTCTCGTTTACTTCCCAATGACATTTTTACGAAGCCATTAAAATTACTCAGTGTTTCTTGATTTGCACTAGAAATACCTATTTAAAACCTTTACGTTTCGATGTGATGTACATAGGTAGTCCTTAAATTATGTTTGTGATATTGTACATTGAGAAGCACTGATTTGATACAATATTAAATACCTAAGTTACTTTATGGGTCAAGATGCTGAAGCATTATGAGTTGTATTTCGTACTAATTTCATATTCTTAGAAATAATAGCCACTACCATGTATTAAGCATTTACTGTGTTTTAAGTATTTTCTTATACATTATCTTATTTAAACTCTACAACAACCATTGAAGGACAGTGATTGGCCTCCATTTTTCAGACTAGGAAATTAAAGCTTAACGAGATTGAGAAACTCACCCAGTACCGCATGTACCTGCCTAGTAGGTGTGGCACTGAGCTTCAAACTCAGGTCTCTCTCAATTCAGAGTACAGCTAGTGCTCGACTTAGGACCACGATTGGTTCCGACAGACTGGTCATAACACGATTTGGTCGTAAGTTGAATAGGCGATATGTACAGTTGAAACGGTGCACGCGGAGATGGTAGTGCTGCCGGAAGCTGGTCCGCACTGTCGTACGCCCAGCTGGGCAACGTTTGCGCTGCCAGACGGGGAGCAGTCGTGGCTAGTGATTGTGGTCGTAAAGTCAAATGGTCGTAAGTTGCGTAGGTCGTAAGTCGATCAATACCTGTACATTTCAAATCTTGATAATTCTTGCCAGAATCCCTTCTTAAAAAGAGAATGCCTGTTTCCTTTCATTTTCAGCCTCACCAACATTTGCATTCTTGCTGAGTTCTAAGTGAAAGGTTAGTAAAAGTCATAGGTAACTTGTGAGAGTGAAATGATTTTTCCTATTTATTAGCTGTTTGTGTTTCTGGGAATTCCTGAGCATATCCTTTGCCCTTTTTTCTTTGCGTGTGTCTTTCTAATTGTCATCTAGGTCAAGTGATATATATTTTTGATAACTTTAAAAGGCAAAGGCAACAGAGTTAGTTGTGCTTGTGTGAACTTTTACCCAGCCTTTCTCTTGAGTGCTAATCATGATTTTGAACTAAATGTCTAACTAAGCATTTTTTTGTACACAGACCATATGATTAATATGAGCGTGTTTTTACATAGAGAAATGGTCTCTGGACTACAGTGAGTCTTGCTAATGCCTGGAGACTCAGTGTTTCTATCAGTGTGTGTCACTCTATTACAGCACCCCAGAGAGAATCCACTAATTCTCCTTATTTCTTCCTCAGGTTGCCTGCAATGAGATTGCATTCTCTACATTTAAAGGACATCCTTTCTGAGCTGCTGTGAATAAATTTGGAATGGTACTGTATATTTTCATCTAATGGAGAACTAGCTGTACTTTGAATAGGGATTGCTGCACTGGACGACTTGAGAACATCCCTCACAATGTCGTCAACCCGGAGCCAGAACCCCCATGGCCTGAAGCAGATTGGCCTGGACCAGATCTGGGACGACCTCAGAGCCGGCATCCAGCAGGTGTACACGCGGCAGAGCATGGCCAAGTCCAGATACATGGAGCTCTACACGTATCCTCCTGCCTAGCGCAGGTTGATTTGATTAGAGTTTTGATTATTTACTAGTGTGACCTATGAATTAGTGTGATTTTATGTCATTTTCTCCTCCCAATTCATCATGTAAAATAATTGCAGTTCATTTTTAGCCTTAAGTTTTTGAACGGAGCAGAACTGGTTCATTAGTAGTCAAATGCAGGGCTGGTCAGTACAGTCACCACTAGGCACATGTGGCTGTTTACATTTGAGATATTTTGAAGGTTCAGTTCCTTAGGCACACTAGCCGTGTTTCCAGTGCTCAGTAGTCAGATAATAAAATATTTCTGTCATTGTAGAAGGTTCCGTTGGGCAGCACTGGTCTAAAGCAAGGTCCTAAGGTTCTCAGCAGATCATTTGTTTTACTGTCCATTTGTTTATATGTTGTCTATGACTGCCTTGTGTTATGGAAACAGAGTTGAGTAGTTGTGTTAGAAACAGTTTGGTCCATGAAGCCTGAAATATTTACTGCCTGCCCTTTTACAGGAAAAGTTTGTTGACCTGATCTAAAGGGATAGAACATCGAGCGAAAGTTTTCCTGTTATGGCCCTATTTTTTTGTGTGTTCGAGACAAGGTCCCGCTCTGTCACCCAGGCTGGAGTGCAGTGGCGTGGTCACAGCTCACTGCAGCCTCAGCTGCCTGGGCTCAAGCAACCCTCCCACCTCAGCCTCCCAAGTAGCTGGAACCACAGGCACGTGCCACCATACCTGGCCAGTTTTTTTGTTTGTAGAGACAGAGTCTTGCTATGGCCCTATTTTAAATAACAGTATTTAAAAGTATTTTATTCCTTTAGTGTTTGGTCCGTGATGTACATGGGGGACTGTACTGTGTGCTGCAAGGGCGATGAGGGTGGAAAAGATGTGGCTGCCGCTATTCGTGTGGCTGGAGACGCACTGTCTAATTTGGAAGGTTTCTTGATTCCATATACATACGACATTGAAATGAGAGTTAAGCTCACTCAGGAGAGAGGAGATTGCTACTGACTCTAGGACTTTAAAGTTGCTGATTCAACAGAGCTTCAGGTTTAAATTTTTAGACTATCTCAGTTATGATCAAACTAGGTTTTGTCATATTCTAATATACTCTTACATACGTTAATATTTTAGAATCCTAAAAAAAATTAAGCAGATATAAAACTATGTCTGTCTCTGAATTCGCATAAAATGTATTGTGTGTGTTTGCATTTTTATGTATGTATATGCACTTACATATAGGATACTTTTTAAAAATAATAGCTTTATTGAGATATAATTACATACCATAAAATTCACCCTTTTGAAAAGTATACAATGCAGTGGTTTTTAGTATACTTACAGAGTTTTACAACTGTCGCCACTGTCAAATTTTCGAACATTTTAATCATCCCAAAACGACACCTTGTACCCATTAGCAGTCACTCCTCATGCCCTCTTTCCCCCAAGCCCTGCTGAATTTGCTCATTTGTACATTTTGCACAAATGGAATCATATGATGTGTGTGGGCTGCATGTGTAGCGTCTTTGACTTAGCATGCTCACAGGCTTCATCCCAATAGCACGCATCACTACGTCATTCCTTTTTATGACTCAGTTGTATGTCTAGTCTACATTTTGTTTACCCATTGATTAGTGATAGGCATTTGGGTTATTTCCACCTTTTGCCTGTTATTAATACCATTGTACACATTGTGTGTGAGTTTTCGAGTGGCTCTATGACTTCTGTTCTCCAGGGCATGGACCTAGGAGTGGGATTGCATGGTCCTGTGACAGGTAGGATGCTCTTGAAGTAATAGCGTCTTTGTCAAGTGAGAGGATATTATGCCACCCAACAGGGTCCTGGCTTGCGTGGTATGACAGTTTCTTAATTCATGTAAGAAAGCTGAAGATGGTGGTTCCAGTGGTGAGGCAAGACATTATTGGTTGGATTTCTGATATACAGAAAGCAGGAGAGCACTGCTCCAGAGCCCAAGGAGGTATCATTGCTGATCTGTCTCTGGAGAATTTCTTTTTAAAATCCACATTATTGAGATAGAATTAATATGCCTTATAAGTCATGCCTTTTTTTTTTTTTTTTTTTTTTTTCTTTTTGAGACGGCGTCTTGCTCTGTTGCCCAGGCTGGAATGCAGTGGCACAATCTCGGCTCACTGCAACTTCCACCTCCCGGGTTCAAGCAATTCATTCCCCTGCCTCAGCCTCCCGAGTAGCTGGGACTATAGGCATGTGCTACTTTTTTTGTGTTTTAGTAGAGAAAGGGTTTCACCTCGTGATCCACCCTCCTTGGCCTCCCAAAGTGCAGGGATTATAGGCGTAAGCCACCATGCCCAGACTTGGGAATTTCTTAATGTGTTCTTTCTAACTAAATCCGATTGGTCCTTTTTCTGATGGATTGTTTTTGCTCATAAGACAATGAGACTTTGTATGCCAGCAGAAGTTTTCGAATTCTTGTGTCTACAAATAATTAAATTCATATAATTTGTAGTTCTAGTATCTGTAACTTTTTTTTTCAGGACTGCCACTCAAATTGGGTATTTTTTTTTCCGTTTTGTCTGAGAGTAGATTTCTAAAAATTGGAGAACCTAAACTGAGTCTAAAATAGCTGACTTGAATTCTTTAGACATTATTTACGAAACAACAGCTACAGTTTGAGTTCTGTGTGTCAGGCGTTGTGCTTGGAACTGTCCACGCTTCGTTAAGCCTCATGTTAGTAGTTACCTTGCTCTGTGGATAAGCTTCAGGAGCCTGGTTGTATAGCAGCCAGTGGTGGTGTTGAGGCAGGTATTAAGGTTCTCAGCATTCTGAATCTGGAATCGCCTTTAGCCACTCTATAGCGTTCAGCTACTATATTTGAATGAACGTATTTCGCAGAGTATTAGATTTCTATATTTTCTTTGAGAAGTTGTGGAGATGTATTTTGATTAACTCTTCAATATATTAGAATTGAAAGCAGTAGAGTGTATACTTACGTTTATTAATTACTGAAAATCATAAAATATGATGTTACCCCCCAACTCTTCACATAAATTTTCAGTATCATTGTGAGAACTGCAAGGATTCTGAGTCGTCTGTTACATTTTTGTAGCGCCATCTTCACTGTAAGCCATTTACACATAGTACTTTTTGGAATTGCATATATGTTGCCATTACTGCTGTTTTATTCCAG